TTTAAAAGGAACCTGTTTTTGACAGCTACAGCAACCTCATTATAAGATGAAAGAAGTTCCCGCCCTCTTTCGCCCAACCATAGTAACACGTACGCTACTAAATGCTCTTAACACAAACTGTAATAGAAATAAAAAAGAGAAGCAGCCTTTTCCACAGTGTCTGCACTGCTGATCAAAACTTAGATTAAGAAGCAACAGCCTTACGTGCTTAACCTTTGCATTCTTCCCACAACTACCCAATCTTCTGATAAGCCCTACTGGAAAGCTAGATGAACATCGAATGAGAAATATGAAAGCAAAGCACCTCTTCAGTGGAATGTGCACTTGCTTGCTTACTTGAACGCATGTGTAAAGAGTGAAGAGAGAGAGAAAATACGAAAAGATTGGAAATTGGCCAAACCTTGAATTTACAGTCAAATCTTTGCTGCTATAAGCGGCACGAATACCTGTCGCACAAGCAGGCTGTGGCCAATTTTGAACTAGTATATTTTCAAACTGTAGAAAACTTTTATCTTTACCAAAAATGTTTTCTCCATCAAAGTTTGTTGCCAATAAGAAGTTGGCCAATTGTTTCTGACACATTGATATCAAGAGGTCAATTACAGCCAAATTCCAGTTCATCTCTAAATATTATTTGTTGTACGGTACTTAGTGACTAGTCATGGAAACACACAGAGACAACATTTTTTTAATCATCGATCAGCAATCCAAAGCTTTTTTAAAAAAAAAAAATTTTAATATTTTTTTTTTAAGGAATTCAGAACAAATTTTATCAATTATTGCAAACTTATCATGTCAATGTACCAATCCAATGAAGAACATAGCTTTCAATTGGTTACTTCTATTTCTTGCTGACATTCCCTTTTCTCCAACTTATTTTATTTATCTCTTTTTTTTGTTTTTGAAATGCACAACAGTGTAAGTCAATTTCTTTCAGATTTGTTTGTAGTTCGCTAAGCATGTCAGCTGCAAGTCCAGTCAATGTGCAGAGCATACGCAACCATAATGTAATCACACACATTTTTCTGCCTTGGTTGAAACGAATAAAGAGCGACTCTGGCAGAAGATTTGTCTACAGAAGTGCGCTTGTAGCTTCTAGAGAATCCATGATGCATTCCAATTCATAGGGCAACGACATTTTCGTTTCGTGTTGGTCAGCGCAGGTTGTGGCTCAGGAGTAATAAAAGCTATGGCCTATAGAGTCAGAATTTTGCTTGTAATTCAACTCGTTATGCACACACACTATATGTATCCGTTCTCCCACATTTATGCTCACAATAATGAAGAACTAGTAGATACTAACTAAGCCAAGAAAACACAATGCAATGTATATGGTACCTTCAAATGAGGGCACCGATTTGCCACATTGCGGACTACAAAGGCTTCTCCGGGTTGAAATCCTAGGATGGTAGGAGGGACAAACCCTAGAGTCCTGCACAAGCCAATGACCATGAACTGTTCTTGCAAGTGTCAGTTAAGAAATCTTAACCAGTTCAGCACAAAATTCGAGGTAAATTGCCAATCTAATCCCCAAGATGCTCCAAAATATATCAGGACTAAAAAAAAGTTAACCCTAAAAAACGCATCATACCTTCAGTGCTTGACTCTTGGCAAGATTTTCATAGCATTCCAAGTTCTCCCTGTTCAAAGAAACATATCATCGGAGGAAACTCAGTTTTTCTGTGAAGCTAACAACAAGATGTTAGATTATAAGCGTTGCTTAAGGAATTTCTGTCTTTTTGAAACTCAGAACCGATGTTTCATTTCATTGAACCAGTCAACCATTTTGAGTTCCTATTTATGCTCTCTCGTTTGCTATTTGTGAGCCCCTGAGTCAGCCCTGGTGGTTCCATCGCGGCCTTCAACCTCAAAACATGATTGCTCCTGTGAATTCAATCATAGAAGGTAGAAATTAAGAACAGGATAACAAAACATGTTACTTGTTTAGTATCGGCAAAATACATAGTGCATATTTTTAAATCCAACATCAAATCTTCTTATCTTCTGGCTTAATCCAGAGGTTGCATGGTAGCCCTGTAATCTTAAAAAGAATGACTTTCCTATAATCAATAATCAAACAATAAATTAGAAGCTTTATTATGTAAGAGTTAACACAACAAGAAGAAACATGGCATTAAGCTCTCCAGCTATAACCTATGAAGCACAATACTTTTACAAGATAATTGTTTCCATATCATACGTAAAATCACATCCCAATAACAAAAAAGAAAAAGACAACAAACGGGAAAAACAAATAAATTACTAAAACTGAACCAAAAATAAACATACAACATCAGAAGCCCTGACAGTGACAAAAGTGAATCTTATCCACCAAAAATAGGAGAAAATTCAATTTTAACACACAGTTATCCTACACATAGAAGATCCCTTCCAATAAGAAAGAAATAAAGATTGCGAACTAACAAAGCAATTGATGTTAAAGACGATATACTATTTTAGGCAAAAAATACGCAGATACATCTATAGATTCTATGTTCTATGCTTCCAAGATTTTGTTTTGTCCACACAATGTAACATGAAAACGAATGTAGCTAAAACAGAATCAAGCATTAATCTATTTATTTATAAGCAGCAATTAACAAATCCAAAGATGATTTCAAGACTACATAAATCCGATCGACTAATTACAATCAAGCAATGATGAATTCAAATCAAATGTAAAACCCAACCATAAATCTAATCCGATCATCGTTAACTCATAAAAAAAATTGTCAAACTGTATAAAGCGAGAGAAAAATCATCGTGCATTGAACAAAATACAACTGACCTATCAGATCGTACCTTGAATACTGCAAAACAAGAACGATCGAAAATAAAAAATAGAAGAATCGATCAAAAAAATAAAACTGACCTGTCAGATCGTACCTTGAATGTTGTAAACAAGAACGATCGGAGAGAAAGAAAGAAGAAGAAAAAAAAAAGAAGTAGAAGAATCGATAGGCTTAGATTTGAGGGGTCAGAGTTCAGATCTAAGCTTCTGAAAATCATTGAATCTTTGCAAATAAGGATCAAGTAAGAATGCCTTAAAACATTGATTTCATAGATCTAAAGAGAGAGAAGAGAGAGACGAGAGACAGTGGAGCTCACTACCTCGCTGGTGCAGATGGTGCTGGCGATGGAGCTTCGAAATCACTTCGATCTGAATCTTCGATGGAGCTTCGAAATCGCTTCGATCTGAATCTTCGATGGAGCTTAGAGAGGCTTGAGAGAGAGAGAGAGATGTGTACGTATAAGGGTTTGAGAGATAGAAACAGCTCAGATTCAAAATAAGGGATTCAGAAAGAAGACGCGTGTGGCCACCGCTTTTGTAGGTGTTTCTCCCATTATAAAACGGGGTCGTCTTGTTTAAAAGAATATGCGACGTTTTGTAAACGCCGTTAAATATTAATAACAGTGACATTTATAAAAACGTCGTTAAAAAAACGCCTTCATACCTCCTTTTTCCTGTAGTGGAATAACCTGAGAAATTAGGGTTTTCACTTTAAGGAATTTTTTTTATTTGTGTAACTTTTATTATAAAAGTTATAACTTCTGAGAAATTATGATTTTTCACTCTAAGGATTTTTTTTTTAATTTTTTTTTTATTTTTGTAACTTTTATTATAAAAGTTATGACTTCCTTGTTGATACGTATTTTTCAATTGCAAATTGACAATTGAATAATGGACGAATTACATTAACGGTTTCTGTAATTTGAGATTTGAATCATTTTGATCCCTAAACTTTTAATTGTGATATATTTGATCATAAATTCTAAATCTTGTTTCAAATAAGGATAATTGAAAATACTATTGCTCCATTTCAAGGGTAAAGTCGTCAATTTGATAAAAAATAAATTAGTTTGACAAAAATAAATATCAAAAAATTATTTACGAATTTTTTAAAATTAATTCTACCCATCAAAGATAAAATTATATAAAAATGATAAATATTTTATTTTTTATATTTTTTACCAAATTAATTTTTAGTATGTTTTTGTATGATGATCATATAATGGGTAGTTATTTTTATTGATATTTTTGGATGGTTTTATATTTGTTGTTAACAAATATTTTTGGATGGTTATCATGTAATGAATGGTTATTAGGGTTTGAATGTGTAATTGATATTTAATATATGAAATATTTTTAATTTTTAATTTTTAATTTAATGGATTTATTTGATAAGGACATCAAAGTTTTCGCCGTGTTTTGACTTTTGAAAAATATGAGCTAATTTAATGAAAATAAATATTGGAAAAAAATTATTTCTATTATCTAAAAGATAAAATTATATAAAAATGATGTGTTTTAATTTTTTTCACTAATTTAAATTTTAGTTTCTTAAAAAAATTCTGAAAATCAAACCAAACAGAACTTTATAATTAAGAAAATTCTAACATTATTCATTAAAAAAATGTCATTATATTTCAAACACACATACAAGTTTTTTTTTTTTTTTTTTGATCAGCAAAGAAAAGGAACTTTATTGATAAAACAAAAAAACTATTACATCAAAAAAGAAAAGGAAGAGGAGTGCAGAAAACATCATAGTGAACCAAATCAATCCCAACTAGGTTGGCACCGATAAAACCGCCCAATCATATGCTAGCACAACCACAAGAGTTGGTGAGAAACCAACCACAAACACCAAAAACTACCTCACCCAATAAAACACTGACCACACCTAATACAAACCAAGCAATCAATCTACCTATCAGCAAAAAGCTGGACAACACTAACAGCTGTAGCAGCACCGAGCATTCAAACTACCTAACAACAAAAACAGGACAACACTAACAGCTGAGGCAGCAAACCAGATCAGCAGAAGAGGGATGTAGCCTAATCAAGAACATCAGCAGCAACAGATAACTGAAGAGTAGCACTACCCACACAAAACACCACCACACCAACACTGCAGCAGCCACAACAGAATATATACTCCTATTTACCAGCCTATCTGATCAACCATCCTATCATAATAGCAATAGAACCTCCTCTCTACCTAGATAATAAGACTCACCCATCTTATGTTTAAAACAATCTAAAAAATGCAGTAGCATCAGCCCTTGGCATAAATCTTCAAGCACATG